TGATCCACTCTGGGCCAAACTGATGGCCGCACGTCTTTTTCTAGAATACTTTGGCATACAGATCAATTCATGGTCCCGTGCCTGCAAAATAAGCCCAAGTCATCACCCCTCCAGTGCTGTGCTCAACAATAGGTACGAGCTGTTTGTTCTCATATGCTGTGTTTTGATATCCCCAGACATAGTGCTGTCCATCATGGTCAAACATCTCTACTTTATTCTCATTTGTCCAAAGGACATTGTTCCAGAAATCTGGTTGTTTGTTCAGATCTGGTTTTACAAACCTGTGCTGTGCTGAGATGTTCTTTTTTGAGAGAAGAGGCTTCTCTTTGTAACCCCCCTATCCAACACCCTGAACAGGTCACTAGTGTGTTGTAGACGGAGACAGAAAGCCATTTGCACTTACATTTGCAGCTATGGGCAATGTAGAGTCACCAGTTAACCTAACCCAACTAACTCCATGTCTTTGGACTGTGGGAGGAATCTAGAGTACCTGGAGGGAACCCATGCAGACATGAGGAAAACATACAAACTCCACACAGAAAGGACTCAGCCAGATGGTGGATTCAAACCAGGACCTTTTTGTTGTGGTGTTAACCACTGCACCACCATGCTACCCTAGTTCAATTCATCCCTTTTCTATTCCCCAGGTTTCTCAATGGTGCAGTATAATCTGTACACCACTGTTTCAGGCTGAATGATAATAACCCCTCTGCTGTTAAATTGCTAAAACTGTATGGATTTTCAGGTCAGGGCAAAATTTGATCGCAGAGGATTTAAAAGATATTTCATGCTCATTTTTTTAACATTAAACAATAAGCGTGGAACATCTTTTAACCTGCTAAGAGATGATCTGGTATTTTAGAACTTAAACTTAAAGAACCAGCTAAAGATTATACTGCCAGGTAACACTGGCAGCCGCCAGTATTTATCTATTTATTTATTTTGCATTGTTAACTGCAAACAGCTAGGAATTGAGAATATCTTTCATACAAAGCAGGGATATATAATCCGACTTCTTCAACCTTCAGTCTGATACAGATACCTTTCTGCTGATACCAAGCTCGCATCTGATATTCAGTGTATAATAAGTATAATAAGGTGTATTCTCCCGTCTGAGAAGGTGACTGGGAATCATTGTTTTACACGTAAGGCAACATCAGGCTCAGCCTTGAATATTGATCTCCTAATTTCGTAACATAAATTGTCCAAAAACATCAAAGAATATTAATTTACTGAACTTTTTTTGTGAACTAAAGTGAATACAATAATAAATGTAAAAGTGTAATGGCGCTATTTATCAGGTGCTGTGAATTTATTTGCATTAGAGTCGTTTCCTTTCAAAGCAGTAGTGACTGTGTTTTTTACCCCTCGGACATAAAAGGCTGATGGGGTATTATTGTCACTCTGCTGGGCAAACAGGCAGGCCAATGACATGGACACCCAAATTTGAGAATGAGATAACTTGAGGAGTTTGAAATTAATAACATAAGTGCATCTACTAAAAATATTGGACTAGTTTTCAGGTTTTCTGAAAATCTTGTGAATGCGATAACTTAACAGCAAGGCGATGTAGGATTTTAAAATTGATACCAAAGGTGTGTCTGCTGTGAGGCTGATTTTTAGCACTGGCCGCTGCCGGTATTTTTCAGTCATGACAACTGATTTGACCACGATTTGCTGTTAGGTGTTACAGTTTTGCACACATATAATGAAAAGCTGGTGGTATAGCAGAGCTACTTGTTGACCTCTATGTTAGCTCACCTGCTAGCTCCTGCTATTATTTGGTGATATAAAGATAGAATAACACAGAACTGAACTAAATAGTTCGACACATTATTGATATCTGATCCCTGATTTTCCAAATCTTTCCCTTTAGAAATCATTTTAGCTGGAATGATTTTCATATACTTTCAAGTCTTAAGAGAGCGTATACAGATCTACACTCACATTTCATTTTAATTTGTAGAAAATTGCTGCAATCCCTTTAAAATGAGGTTTTTCTTTTGTTTTCAGTATTACATCTGGAGAACAGGGTTTCTGCAGGCCTTGGGTGCTTCAGCTTGGCTACAAACTTTGAAAACCTTTTTAAAAATTTGTTTGCACCAAGGAATTCATGTGTATATAAGTTTTGTTTGTTGTGCTGTGCACTACGCTGACTGTGCAGACTTTTATGTGGCCGTGCGCGCATCTGCTTTCACACAACTTTCCATGTGTGGACGCATGCACCCCTGACCGAATGTGGTTTGACTGTTTGGATCCTGATGTGCCTTCACTGTGTTGCATTCCCATCCATATTTAGAGCCGTGCACTTGTGATCAGACCACCCAAGATGCTTTTAGTACAAAACAAGCACACGGCTGATTTTCCTAATTTTCAGAGAATTTACAACTCCAATTGGCAGACTTTTTTTTTGGCTTTCTTTATTTAAAATGTTTGTGTAAATCTTTACGTGCCCGTTTTCTGCGTGCCTGTAGGAAATTAGCAGCTTACTGCATAAAACGTGAGAAAAGAAATCTGCTCAAACAGAATAGCAGTTGAGGTAAAAGATTTATAATTTTTGCAAGCGTGAAGCATATCTTAACGTGACAGTGAGCCACAGAAATATTCCACCGGTGGTGTTTTAGAGGACTGCATTTGTTATCATCATTATTATGAGTGTTTATCAGCCATAAACTGGTCCATAAATGTCTCATTTCTTTGGAGAACACAGTCTTTTGGTGCTAAAACTATAGACAAGTCTCAGCTTCCACGTCGCGACTCAGAAAGATGTGATAGCTGTTTAATTTTTTGTTTGTTTGGTTGGTTTTTAATACATTCGTTCATATTTTATCCACGTGAAGCCATTCATTCTTTCTAGCTCTGATCCTGACCTCCAGAGAGCTTACTGTTCTCTCTCTCAGCCGGAAGATGGTGGTACAAGGTTGTTGTCATTGTATTTGTCATAGCTACGTCTCGTTCTTCTCTCTTGCCTCCTGTCGTTGCTGACTTATTAGGTTGGTCCTCTGCCATTTGGAGATATACCAAATCATATTATTCAGTCGGTCATGGATTAGGCGAGGAGGAGAAAAACAGTGGCTGGGGGATGATCAAACAGGGCCCACATTCACCTCACACTGACAGACTAACCGGGAGACAAAGAGATTGGAGGGGCAAGGCAAGGGGTCTGATTTTATGGGGAGGGGTGGAGGGTAAAGTTTAAGATGTTTTGTGCAGATTATTGGCTAAATTTGGATTTGCCTTCCATTGGTATATGTTGGCATCACAGCTCCGTGCGCGCATGCCCGGATCTCTGCGAGCTCCTCGTTTCCTCAGTGCACCATCGGGCCCGGCGGCGGAGAGGGAGGGAGAGAGCGAGCGAGTGAGTCACCCAGCAGATGAAAGAGTCAAAGTAAAAGCTCTGCCATCCCAAAAAAAAAACATCACACAGCTCCCTCGCTCACTTTTTGAAGTCATCCAAGAGGAGGGAGGGAAGCGACACACTTTTTTCCAATCGCATTAAAACATGGCGTCAGGCAGCTCCCATCTTGTTGCACGCTACAGATTACACTTTGGTTTGAAGTGGAGTTTTAAGTGGGACACCACTATGTTGTTGTTTTTTAGTTGTGTGTGTGTGTAGCGAAGGGGAAAATCTCTCAGTTCAACTGAAAATCATGCTGCACCTTAACATCAGTAACATCAATCCAAAATACACTGAAGACATAAATAGAGATGTACCTACACAGAGAAGTCTAAACCGAATTTCATTGCGACTCTGCGAGATTTCGGTGAATAACTGAGACGATTCTGCGTGTTCTTGTGTTAAGTCACAGCTTGACTGTCAACTCAAGTTAAGACCAATGCCTGTGAACAGTTAACGCACAAATCTGGGCACAGAAAGCATGACTGAGACACTTTCAGCATCTGATTCAGCATTCGAAGCGTTTAAATCCTCAAACTTCTTTTTTTTTTATCCCAGCCTTAAGATGTAGGTTAGATTTTAATCCCTTTCACACTGATGGCAAAAGGATATAATTGGTTTTCTGTTATAAAGATCCAGCTGGTGGAGTGTGTAATCACTGAACATTTGGGATGTTGCGTGTGTCTGCGTATTTGATGTATGTTTATCTGCCTGTGCGTGCCCGTGATGCATTATTTCTGTGCTGTGTATGAAGCGGCACTGACAGTTAGCAGCAGGGATGAAGAGAATCACTACTGACAGGCAGTGATGGCAAACTGTGAAATGGAAATAAAGCCTCTTGTCATTACAGCAGCAACTCTCTCTCGCACACGCAGATACACAGGCGAGCGCAGCAAGACAGCAATGATTACAGACAAACGAGCAAATAACATCTCCCAGCTCTCCCTCACTAGCAGATTGAACTCAAATTGTTATGAGAGTCATGCGCGGTGAACAGAGAATCGTTTTGAATGCTTACAAATACTGCTGCCACTAAAACTGAAGGCTTTGTGGAGCAATGGAGAAAAGCTTCTCTTTGAAATCGCTTTCTTTCCTTCAACAAACGAACCCCCACAAATCTGCTCCCCAGCGTGTCGTACACAACTTGTTGTATGCAGGGTTGAACCACCAACAGCCATTAAGAGAACATGTTGTAACTCACTGTAACGTCCCGGCTTTTTACCTAACCACTTTTCGGATTGGAATCCGCACTGTGTCCTTTCGATGTGTCTTGTGATATCATCCTTGCGTAAGCAAGTATTGACTTTAGTTTTGTGCCTTTTGTCAGAGTTCAGCTTTAGGACGATGCTGAAAACCATAATTGCTCTTTAGCAATGTGAGATGATTGGAAACACATCGCAGAAAAATGCCATATGGAAGCAATATCCTGTCCAAGATGGAAGAGATTTTGGAAATAAAACCTTGTTTTTGGAGAAGTTGGGATTGCTGTTTTAAATGTAAATAAAAACAAATGCAATGATTTGCAAGATATTTAAACCCCATTTTTAATTAAGTGGTGAAACTAAGGAATGTTCTAGTTCTTTGAAATATATGCTCAGTTAGAACTTGTTGACAGCAATTCTTTGCAAAAACAAAGTTGGAAAAGTCACATCGTGCTTAAAAACAAAGTGGGAAATGTCTCGCAGTGGATCAAGTTAGTCAGTAACATGACTGAGTGCTAAAAGAACATCCCAGAGTGGCTGAGTCTTTTAGAAGTAAAGATAGGGAGTGGTTTACCCCTCTCTGTGAAAGACTGTTTGGGCAACATATTGCAAAGAATTTGGGAATTTCATCATCTATGGTGCATTGTGTAATTAAAAGATTGAGGGAATCTGGAGAAATCTCTGTACACAAGGGACAAGGCTGAAAACCAATATTGGCTGTCTGTGACCATCTGGTCCTCAGGCGGTACTGCAAAACAAAAAAGAAATAAATCATTGCATGGACTCAGGAACTCATATAAAAATAACTGAACATAGTTTGTCTTTGCTGCCATAAGTACAATGTGGCACGAATGCAAAAGAAAACAAACATGCATAGTAGCAAAGCAGAAAACTTTCCTGAGGTCTGAAGAATCAAAAATTGGAAAACTTTCTTTCTAGTGAGATGGAGCTCCTTGCTTGTTGTCAGTGCTAAGAGTTTAGACGTTGGCAATGCATAATGATTAGCATTAGATGGATATTTGGGAAAGGCATCAGGGTTATAATATGTAGTGTGCACAGAGGTGCAGTGGTTAGGGCTGTTGCCTCACAGCAAGAAGGTCGCAGAGAGCGAGATTGCTTGTCTTCCTTGTACCTGTTTAGAGTCTCTCCAGGTACCCCAGTTTCCTCCCACAGTCCAATTACACGCAGGTTAGGTTGATTCTAAATTACTTGACTGTGAATGAGCATGATTGTCTGGCTGTGTTGGCCCCACGATAGACTGTGACCTATCCAATTTGTACCCCGCCTCTTACCCCTGACAACTAGGATAGGCTCCAGTTCATGGAATATATTCCAACAATATGCTTTTTCCTTTTTTGGGGGGAGAAGCTACGCAGTCATCCACAGTAGCTTTTTTTCAGTGTGGACATTGTTTATTTCAGTAAAACAATACCAAACTGCATTCTGCACAAAAACAAAGCTTCAAAGAAAAAAAAGGAAAGTACAGGTGTTAAATTGGCTTCGGTACAGTCTAGGTAAAAGGTACTTGTGGGAATGGGATACCATTTTGCTTTTGATTTCCTTAGTTCAAGCACTTTGAGATTTTTGTTATAAGGAGAGGTGATGAAACACATCCCAACTTCTTTTTGAAATGCTTTGCATGTATGAAATTCGTTATTCGTTAATTTAGTAAAGTTTGAACATTTGATGTGTTTTCTACTGCTGAAAACTGTGACACAAACATTACCATGCAGTGACTACATTGATTACACTAAGAAATGTTTACCTTAGCTGCTTCCTCCTTTAGCAAGAATACAGCCGTCTGTTGTGAACAAAGGGATTGCACACCTTGAGCAAATCTCATTTCCAGCAACAGATCAAACTCTGGATGTGTGTTTGGCCTTCATGCATCCTGTTTGTCTGCTGTGTCTGTTTGAATAAGTGTGACTTGTGTGCGTATCGTTAAGTGTGTGAGAGAAAGTCCCGCCCCCCCCTCGCTTTCTTTGTGCCACTCATGTCCCCATCCTTTTTAAGTGTGCCCATGTATCCATGTGTGCCCGTGTCTATGTGTGTGTTTGGCCTGCTTCCCATTGCAGATTATTAATTAAGTCCTGGTAAGCGGTGCATGCCTTACCTTCAGATCTACTTCCACTTTCTTTAGCACACACTGGTATCTGCGCACGCACACACACACACAAAGACGAACACACTTCAAAGCAGCTGCACTCCACACCGCTAGGATTAAGAGGCGATTGAAGAGCCTGATACAGCCTCAAAGTGCCTTCAGCGCAAAAATGCCTTTGGCAGGGCGCAGGTACTCTCTTTGAAAGTTCTTACACACTCACACAGACACACACATATGGATGGGCTTTTAATTTAGCACTGTTTTCCCTTTGTATTTGTCACAGTCCAAATGGGGTATTTTTCACTGCGTGTACTATCCATATTTTCTTCTACTTCTGTCCATTTTTATGTGTGTTTAGATGGTAGAGGTTTATAATGTTTGAAGTTTTTTTTAAATACTTTTTTATAATACTTCCTGCTGAAATCCCCCAAGTGACTTCAGGTAAAAGGAATAAGTTAGTAGCAAGCTCTTTGTGATTTTATAAAAAATCTGAGCCTGTTTGTGTGTCAGTATGACCACATGCTAAAGGTACAGTCAGTAATTTGAGGTCATTTAATGGAAAATAAGGATATATAGTGTGTAATTAGATCTTCCAACAAATTGATTCATTCTCAAACTTATAATTAATGTATTAAAAATAAATGGGAGTTGGTTGGCATTGGTTTGTGAAGGCTGCCATGTTCCCTTACTATATTTGAATACAGTGACCAGGTAGGACAGCTCCCTTCCAACTGATCGCATTTTATGTAGAGACACCTGCATTTTCAGGCTGAAGTTATAAAGGATCATATCTATGTTTTATCATCGGGGGAGGGGTCATCTTCACCAAAACCACGAAGGAAAGAGACAGCACCACTGGCATCTGTGTAAAATGTCATACTCTTCCTTTGCATCTCAAGCCTTATCTCATAATATAAAGTCAGGGCAAAAATGTCCATAAACATGCTTATTTATTCCCAGTGTTGTCACAACTCCTTGTTGTCAGCAGATTAGACATGTGACACTCCGTCTCCGCTTGACAAGAAATAGCTAAACCACAACAGCTGGTTACAAGCTAACATCATACCAGCTAATGTTAGACTTGAGTGTCCTAAAAATCTCACTTGTCTTTCTTATCCATCTATTTATTCTTTTCCACTTGTCCTTATCAGGGTCGCCGGGGGGCTGGAGCCTATCCTAGTTGTCATAGGGTGAAAGGTGGGATATATCCTGGACAGGTAGCCAGTCTGTCACAGGTCTAACAATGACAGACAGACAACCATTCACACTCACATTCACACCTATTGACAATTTAAAATCACCTGTTACCTTCACCCCACTCTCCCATATCTTTGACCTGTTGGATGAAACCCAAGTACCTGGAGAGAACCTACACAAACAGGGAAAACCTGCTGAGGACCTTCTTGCTGAGGCAATAGTGCTAACCAGTTTCAGTTTTTTCCTTCTGATAAACAGTTTAATTAGATTCATATGAGAGTTTATTCGCCAAGTGTCTGAGTCCACTTCAAAGAAAGTTTCACTAAAGGCAGTTAGCAGCAGCTAACAGAGGCTAATAGCAGCGCTTACCAGTAGTTCAGGATATCTTCAACAACTCACCTCAGTGTGACTGTCGTGGGTCAGAAGTGAGTTTCACGGACTCATCAAATTATATTACAGTCCTTTGACAAAGATTCCCAGCTTCCTCCTGAGTAAATAAAGGTGGACACTACTCATCCAGCATTGACAGCTGAGGTAAACAGTGGACTGAATCTGGATCGCCTCCAAGCAGTAATAGAAACATTCCAGCCAGCTGGGGCCATTATGGGGTGCAGTTTAAATTTAATGTTTTTGATCTCTTGGCTGTTGAAAACATGTTCGAGGGGCAAGAAAACACAACTCAGTTTACTGCACTTTGCAGTCTACTGACGTCAACTTGAATCTTGGTCTAGCTGTGAAAATTTTACACACTGTAAATTTAAACCCATGTACATGTGAACCTACAGTCTCACATTGTGCAGTATAAACATCACCTAAATTAACTGTAGAGACGATTATGTGTAAATGGAGAAATAGATACATTTAAGACTCTTCTTTCATCTTTTTTTTAAATTTTTCTAAATATAGAACACGAACAATACACAAATATTCGTTATTATAACAGAGTCACTCACAATATGGAGCAGAGCTGAGACAGAAAATGTAAAAAAAGAACTCCATTTGTTTCCCTTTCGCACAGACAGTTCATTCTCTCGTCTTTCCTACGCCCTCCTTTGTCCTCCGCGCTCTCATCAGCTGCTTTAGGGCCCCTGGGGACAAGCGGGCCGCCACTCAAAGAGTCCTGGCGCAGGAAGACAGGGCTTGTATCCTTGGTGATGGCTCTGTGTTTCCGTGGTGACAGGTGTGTCCGTTCAGAGCGGACGGCCGTGTTTGTCAGGAAGTGTTTGGAAGGGGTGCGGAGTCCAAACGCAGCTCAGGTGTTGATGGCTGTGAGTGGGAGTGTTCAGCGGAGCAGTGTTTGTTCATGAGTTGTCTGTCTGTCAGTGGCTGTCAGGAGAGTCAAGTAAGTGTTTGTGTGCGCAAAAGAGAGAGAATCATGTTTACTACAGTTTAGAATAACTTTCTGAATACATCTCTGCATGGCTGATGGTTTACAGTTGTGTGTTTTTCAGGAATTTAGAAGAAGAAATATATTAAACTGTGGCCCCTTTTTTAGTGGCATAGCAACTGAAGCGTCTAAATAATATATAGCATATAAATGCTGATTTCTGTAGTTTTACAGCAGAATGTGAGACTTAAGTTTAATCCTCGTCCACTGAAAAGCTTTGCCTGGCCTTCACATAATGACCTCTGTCCCCCATTAATTCAACCCTTAGTGTTTCCTTAGTACTTGTATGGACCACATCCACGTCCATACAGGCCGCTACTGATGTCCCTGTAGAATTCCAGCACTTCACACCTAATTATCTCACTCCACAGTTCAGCCTCTTATTCAAACTCTGGCAGCACAACACAGCTAGCTGAAAGGAGAAAGATCTCGCATTAGAAACACACAGCCTTTGCTTCCAGCTGGCTAGCTTCCCATAGAGAAACAACGGAAAACAAAAGAGACGAGCAACGCTCACTAAACTTCCAGCAACAATCGCCATTCACTTCTATTCTGTCTCCGCCCTGTTTAGTTTCCCAGCTTCTCTCAAATGTCTCCCTCGCTTTTTTTTTTCTTACCCTATAGCTAATTGGCAGCAACATTTTAATTCCCCCACCCCTCACCGTAGCCCCTCGTCTTGTTAAGTGATGAATTGTTGGCAGGGGATCAAAGGGGAGTGGTGCCCACTGTGCACTGTGCCCATCGCTACCTGCTGGCACACATGAGCGCTGGGAGTGGCGCGGAGCCAAGGGGCCGCAGGCGTGCTCAACAGGGACACACTGCCAAGAGGCAGAGGTCAGCACAAAAGTGTGTGTGTGTGTGTGAGAGGATGGTTAGGTTGGGAGGGTAATGTGTCTCTGTGCACTTCCTAACGGAAGATTGAATTTCACTACCCTGTCTCTCTTTGTGTCCCTCAACCTGCCCGTCTGCATATCTCTTTCTCACACTCTCCTCTCCCTTCTTCTCCTTGCAGACCAACAGCAGGCTGAAGCAGATTGAGAGGGAGTACAGTCAGAAGCTTGCCAAATCTGCCCAGGTAATCAGTTTTCACTTCTGCCCTTTCATTTCATATTCTTGTTTTTCTACTCGACTATGTGATGGAACAGACAAAATGTACTGATGGGGGAAAGGTGGTGACACACACACACACACACACACTGCAAGCTGCCATGGCCTTTTCTCTTAAGCACATGTGCACGGGCGCAAATGTACGAGAGAGTGCACGCAGAACATTCGTGTCAGTGCCAGAGCACGAAAGTTCATATTAGAGTGAAATTTGTAAAGCTTTGCTATCTGACTTTTATCAGCCCCTCTTTCATCCCTGTGTCCAAAGTCAGAGCATTTTTATCAGGCTTCAAATTTACACACAATTCTTCTCCTTATCTTTGCTAGCCTTAGATTAGAATTAATATTTGCTCTCTGAAAGCTGCACCAATCAAACACCGACACATGAGTTGAAAGGGCTGGAATGAGTGCAACCACTACACTTACATTCATGTGGTGATCAGACACGAATCCAGGAAACTTTTGCCAAACATTAATATATCAATTGTGTCTTTTAAGTTTGTTCAGCTGCCCCCCAGTGGCCACAATTCCCCGGGTATAAAATATCTTGGCACTCTCTTAAGAGATTTTTCCTCCCACAGGACAATCACCAGGATTTAGAAAAGGGGGAGAAAAAAGAAAAAGAGTTGCAAAAACACAAGCAGTCCAGCTCTTTGTGTGATGCTGCCGCGGCCCCCAAGTGTACTACGGCTTTCTCATGGGAGCTACACAGCCCGAGCAAACTGTTAAGCCGGCGAAACATCTTGAAAACATATCGGTGAAAGTCCTTTTCATATACCATACCTGTCTGTCCATCACCTGGCTACACTTCAAATCCAGGAAATGTGTTTAACATTACTTCTTGTGTCCTTAGGCCACATGAAATCGAGTTAATTCTTCTGTCCAAACAGATATAACTTCCTCGGACACACGTTGCCATTCAGCACGACGTCTCAGAAAGTTCTGGCAGCTTTCACCTCACCAGTTCAAAGATCCAAAAACACCCTAAGTAGTGTTTACATTACAAAAAGAAAAGTGGTTTCTTCTTGATTATGTAGCAGGCTAAAATATTACAATCATTTGGCCGTAATTGCACCTCGTTACCCAAAGAGGAGATTCAAAAAGGCTGGGGGGGAGGGTGACGAGGGGGAGGAGAAGGTTGTTGTTTTTCTTTCTTTCTTTCTTCTCCTCTTTAAATCTCCCCCATTTCGGGTTGGTTGGCAGAGGCTCCGAGTTGAAAGCGGGGTTGACAAGCAGATGTTGTGAGGAAAAACGGTAGCTTATTAGGTTACACAATGCTCAACTTCAAAAGGAGTTGGGTGCTGTGCGAAAGTTTAGCCTCTGCCCGCTTTGGAGGGTGCAGGGCCGCCGCAGACGAGCAACAAGTGATTAATCCTCTGGTTTGGGGACACAGAGCTGGCATAAGTTTAACAAACAACACTCGCTGACATTAGAAGATGGTCCCAGAGCGCAGAACTCAACACCGCTGTTGATGCGAGCGGTTACATAAAGGTTATGCTAAAGGAGTGGGTTCTGTGCAAACATGTTAATATGCGTGAGTATTTCTGAGCATTTGTTGTGGGCTTGGGCGACTTTGTTTTAAAAGGTAAAGGTGGAACCAAGAAGGCTTTCCCCCCCCCCCCCACCCCTTGGAGCAACTCAGTCAAATGTAAACAAGAGGTCTTTGAACCTCAAAGGCTAACCCCAGTTGTTAACCCCTCAGTGTCTGACAGGGAGCATCGCTCTAGAGCTCAGCTGCATAGCTAATAGCCCAATTAAAAACATACCATGCCATGCATTATCCTAGGGGGCCTGATATGTATGTTTCTTTGCATTCACACACACAAACATACGCACAGAAGTGCAGATCCTATTCTTCTGTATATTATCTCCCTGCTTTTGTCTCTGTGCTCTGGTTCTTTCAATCAGGCACGCACACACACACATACATACACAGCTCTCCTAATTAGTGTCTCCTACCCAGTCCCTGTGTGTTAAGCGCCTAGCTGCGAGTGGTCCTCCTGGGTGACCTGTGAACTAAACAGGGCCCACTTAATGGTCAGGTTACAGTGGGTGGTAGTCTTGGTGCTGATAGATCATTACTTTATCCCTGACCGCAAGTAGGTGGGAGGTGGAGGGAATGTTCTCTGGGCGGCACGGTTCAGGACAGGTTGAAATTAATATGTAAAATTATTTCATTTATTTAAACACAATGTTGGGGGTTTGTTTGTTTCTTTCTTTCTTTCTTTCTTTCTTTCTTTTACTGTGCTTTTCTGTGACCTTTTAGGAATTTACTGACCAGCTGCAGGGTTTATTCCTTTGGAGACATTTTCACATCAAAACAAAATCGAAATGTGTCAGCACTGTTTAAACTTTGGGTTCTTTTCTGTATTGATTGTTAGTAGAGCTTTTGCTCTCTTTCACAACTCTCAGCATATTCATTTCCAGTAATGCAGGAGACAACTGGTTTCTAGGAAAAAGAAAAAAAGCTCTGAAGTTTCTTTGTGAACTTGCTGGCCAATTAATATCTAGCTGGCAAATACGGTCATGCGAAAAGAAAAGCTTTTCACACAACTCTCTGCAGCCCCTTTTTCATTCCAGTTTGAAAAGTCAGAACATTTTATCAGGCTTCAAATTTGCACACAATTATTCTCCTTATCTTTTCTAGCCTTGGATAATAATTAATATTTGCTCTCGAAGCTGCACCAGTCAAATGTCAGCCGGTAAGTTGAAAGACTTACATTCATCAGGTTTGTTCAGCTGCCTCACCACCTTTACCAGCAATAACTTTAACAGCACGGCTTTTTCGGCCTCTCACATCTTTGTGGAAGAATTTTTACCCACTCCTCTTGACCGTGTTGCTTCATTTCATTGAGGTTTGTAGGCATTCATTTATGCACAGCTCTCTTAAGGTCCCGTCACATTTCAAGTATATGAATCAGGTAGAAGTTCGGACTCTCACATTTGACTCAAGTGTATTCAAGGTGCCCAGGTCCTGTGACTGCCAAACAAGCCCAAATCATCACCCCTTCACATGTGTTTGACAGTTAGTATGAGGTGTTTATGCTGATATGTCTTTTGGCCAAAAGTAGCACTATACATTATCTCCACTTTGGTGGACATTTTTACATAAGTTTAATTGTTTGTTCATCTTTTCAAGCCTAAGCTGGAGGGTTGGGAGGTTGCGCAGACTGAAGACACAAATTCATGCAAATATTATGTGCATTGAAAATATTTTTTGCACTCACCTATTCTTAATGCAGCTGTTCACACACACAGATCTCGTGATTTCACTTGATTAAATTGCAGAATTTATTTCGTTGGACCAAGCTTGATTTTTCTGAATAAACAGTTCTGACCAATCAGACCAATGCGTTTGGCAACAAGTGCACTCGTAGCTCAAAACACAGTACTGAATATACAAATAGAAAAATAATAGTATTTAACCTCAGACAGACAGCTAGACACTGCTCCGGCCCAGAATCTCTGTGTCTTCCTTTTCTTGTTTAGAAACATCCGGACCAGCTCATCATCTTTTCATGCTGACTTTATTTTTTCACACTGCGTTCCCCCCCCCCCCCCCCTAAAAAAAATGCTTTTGGTTTGTTTATACATTGGAAAAATTCTAAATTTCGTGATTTTTTTTTTTCTTTTCCAAAAACATACTTGGTGCCTAAAAGCTGTAACTTAACAACAAGTATGTCATATTTGGTATAGTTTTTTGGGAGGTTCTGAGACTTTTACATCATCAGTGTGATGAATAAATAACACCATGCATTTTTAAGCAACTTTTTAAGAAAATGTCGCAAAATTAAAAGTC